ATGTTGGTTCCGTTCTTGTGTACATGAAAAGATCTTCAATATATTTAGTCCATACTTGTTTTATTTAATTGGATTATTAATAGGTTTATTGTTTTTGTCAATTAATCGGTTAGGTGTATTTGTTCGTGATTTTCAAGATAATTAATTCACTTTTTTATGTAAATTATATTGATCATACTTTTTCTGCAATTCTTCAACTTCGATGCATATTTCCATCAGGCACTTTTCCTTAGCCTCTTATTTTGTTCCTTATTAATTTATGTTTTCTCTGTACTTATCTGTGTTTTTGTTTCTATAATTTCTTCTTTGTTCCATGATTTCCAGTATTTCTTGAGTCATCCAAGGTTTTCGGCTTTCTGTTTTCTTTTTTCTTTCTGTTTTCTTTTATAGAGTTTATCTCTCTCGTAAATAGTTATTATTAACAAATATATAAATACAAAAATATGAACAATTATCAGTCAAGATTATTCTAATATAATTCCAAACATCTAACAGGTAAAATAAGAATAATATTCAGTAACGGCTAATCACTTTAAATTACAATGAGCTTACATAATCCCCCTAACAAAGTGTACTAATAATTTCAGCAGCTCCAGATTTCGAGATCCTTCTAGCACAATGAAAATGCAAATAATCCTAATAATGCAGACAGGATACGGCGAAGATACTCCCGGGACACGAAAAAGAATCGTGCCGCGGAGGCAGGGGATGAAGCGACGAGCCCGAGAGACATGAATGGGATCAATGAATATTTGGGTCAAAAGGTCTCGTGTGCTCTACTTCCATTCATGAAAACTAACTATAGCGCAGAAGACCCGCATTCAAGTTATTCGTCCCCTATCCCTACGAGGGATTGGGGGGCGGTAAACGGAGAGAAAGAAATATGAGGAGAATATATGTCTTGTTTTATTTTGTTAGGGTTTTTCGCAACATTATTTTCTTGTGGGTATTTTGTGCAATCTATTATATAATGGAAGCTTTTCTGCGGTATTACAAATGCTGGTTTAAAAAAACGTTTTGGAAACTTACAGTAACAATATGTTCAAAAATATCAGGCTTACAACAATACTAGAATAAGAAGTTTCTATCAGTAAAATTCGTTCAAATCATAAAATATCCGCTGGTAAATACTTCTTCTTCTTCTTCCTTTTTATAAGCAATTCTGCTTGTTTATTGGTGAATTGATACTTTTATGGAAGGTTGTCACTCTATATTTTGCGCGGTCGTCCAATATGTCTTCGGTCGATTGGTGACTTATCTCTTACTATTTTGACGACACGGGTTTCCTCCATTCTGCTTATGTGGTTATTCCATTTTTTTTTTCTATTTATAGTGTATTTTTATGTATGAGAGAGTAATAAAACAATAAATTATGTATGCAAATCCCTAAACTGTTGATACGGGTGACTCAATGAAAAACATATTTGTCAACAAGTTTACAGAAGTATATAGGAAAACAATTTTAAATTGAGTATGACCACCAGGTATAAAGGTTGAAGCAGAATAGAATACAATACTTGTGAGGGTTACTAATCCCTAAATAAGGTTGCCAGTGTCGGAGTGATTGAGGTTAACAGGTACTAATGAATTTGCAAGAAATGTAAGATGTTTATTTTATTGGTTATATATAACCAATAAAAGTTTAATAAGTACCTACCTATTTGCAAAATAAAGTTTAATTCTTTAGATAAAATAAAACGTTTTATTTTATCTGAAATGAGTGCATTCCACGAAGTAAGGGTTTCAACAATCAAACATTTAATTCTTTAATTCCAAGAATCTACGACAGTAATTGACTAGATAATTACCTTCTAAACTTATTCCACAGAAAATGTGATAGTAGGTTTTTTCCATTTTGTAGGAAGGTCCAAGTGGCGTATTCAAAATTCTTAACAGTTCACTAAAAGTAGGTACTTCAGTTGCAAGGTGCAGTTTATTGTGTATACTAGTGTTATGGAAAATTTGGAAGTGCCGTGTAAACGCCGAAAAATTGGTCCTTTAACAGTTAATGAAAAAACATTAATATTTAATTGTTTAAAATCATTTACAGACAAACGTTTATGTGAAAGTGTTGATGAGACCGTTGAGTTAGTTAGCAGTACACTTGGTGTTGAGAAATCTACGATTTACAGAGTTATTAAAAGAAGAGAAATGTGGTAGTTTTCAAATGCCACGTAATGCTCCAGGGAAACCAAAATTTCAAATAGAATATCATTTTAAAGAAGGACTTCGACGGAAAGTGCATGAATTCTTCTTTAGACAAGAATTTCCAACATTGGATAAAGTTCTTGTCTCAGTTCGAGATGATAAGGATTACCCAGAAATGAGTCGAAGTACGTTATGGAAACTTTTAAGAGAAATAGGCTTCCGCTGGAAAAAGAGTCCCAGAAAGTCTATTTTATTAGAAAGAAGCGATATTGTCATATGGAGAAGACATTTTCTAAGAACCATAAAGGAAATGAGAAACCAAAAAAGAAAAATATTTTATCTTGATGAATCATGGATCAACGAGGGTCATACATCAAATAAATTTTGGCAGGATGAAACTGTTACAAGTCAAAGGCACGCTTTTGTAAATAACTTACCTACTGGTTTAAAACCCACCATCAGGAAAGAGGCGCAGGCTGATAATAGTACACATTGGCAGTTCAGACGGTTTTGTTGAAGGTGGTTTATTAACTTTTGAATCAACTCGTACCGGTGACTACCATGAAGACATGGACGCTGATGTCTTTCAAGAATGGTTCGAACAAATGATAGATCTTCTTCCTAAGAACTGTGTAATAGTAATGGATAATGCAAGTTATCACTCCAGACTAATAGAAGGACTGCCCACAACCAAGTGGTTAAAAAAAGACTTGCAGAATTGGCTGAGTTCAAAAAATATTACGTACCATCCCGGATCTATAAGAAAGGAACTTTATTCGTTGTGTGTCCTTCATATAGGCACTTTAGACGGTTTTAAAAACTCTTTTTCTCTTTTGTAATTTTTAAAAATTAAAGGAAATGTGAATTTTTTAAAACCCTTTTTAATGTAGGCCAGTCAGTTCTAATATAGTGTGTGATAAAAAGAGGTCACTTTTGTTTACATACACATAACACTTTATAACACTGAAATAATTCATTTATTTTTTACAATTATTCAAAGTAATTTTTCAATTAATCTTGAGCACGCCCATGAAGTGGTCGGAGGTACCAGTTAAAATTATGCTAATTACTCTCTCGTTCATAAAAATAAACTATAATCATTTCATCCATGGTTGAAGAGCATGTGACTTCCATTTTTGTTGTTTTATTTGTACTTTCTTTAGGTAAATCAGACACAGACATGCTCTTTATAACGAATATTTCATCTATACACAATCTTCCACTATGAAAACCCTGTTGTTCATCTGCTAAACTTATCATCTGATTTATTAGCCCTTGTAAAATTTTAGTTGTAAGTTTTAGCATAGTATTTAACAAGTTTATATGAAAGCCAGTCGGTCAGATAGCTCAGCGGGCTGTGCGGCTGCCTCTCATTCGCTTCACTGTCGAATGGTGCAGTGGATGTGGGTTCGAGCCCCAGCTCGGTGTACTGAAAACAAAAAGTCTAACGCAGCAGTTTAAAATTCTAGATGAATCTGCGGCTTAGACTAGGATATGCTGGGATCTGATCGGCCTATGTTGGAGCAGTACGGTAAGAGATAAGGGCTTGCGGCTTGGTGATACTCCTCCATAATAGATCCCTACCGGACGGACCGTAACGCCTAAAAAAACCGGATATATATATATATATATATATATATATATATATATATATATATATGAAAGCCAAAGCCAATAAGCAAAAAAAAAGTTTATACTCTGTAGTTTTCTGGCTGTTTTTTATCTCCTTTATTGAACAGTAGAATTAGTTCGCTCGTTCTCCATTCTTCTGGTATTTTATTGTGTTCAGTAAGTCGTTTTGTATCCCGTCTTTACTTGCTGCTTTTCTGTTCTTCAGGTTTTCAAGTATTTTCCGAACTTCCTGTACATTTATATTAACTTCTTGATTGTTCTTCCTCTGCATAGAGCTTTTTTAGGTAGTCAATCCATGTATCCTTTTCTATATGTGTTTTTTACCTCCGTTCTTTGACCTCTTATGACGCGCCATATTTCCTTTTGCGGACCGTAAATACTTGAAAGTACAAAACGTGCCATCTTTGGTGCTAGGGCTGTTCGAAAAATACGTGACCTAACAAAAGAAAATGAAAGTTTCTTCTAAAAAAATCATTTTTGTGTTTGTTCATTATAAAAAATAAAAAAATACGAGATTGAGTGTAGTAGATGAAAAACCTGAGTGCATTTTGTATCAAAAAGCGCAAACGGAGATCTCTTTCCATCGTCATCACCGATGGCAGAACTGATGTCTCAGGTATGATATTCACTCCAAAGGATTGCCATTTAGCCTAAGAGGGAATGAGATTGGTTGTGCAATCAACATACATGATAATAATAAATGAATTTAAACTCTGAATAATCTTAAATAAACAAACGGCCAACTCTATATAGGTATAGATGTATATATTTAATTAACGTGAAGTCTGAGGTCTATTATGTTTTCAGCGCTCAATATGTTGGTTTTACAGTTGGAATTTTCGTATAGCACATTTGTGGTCCTTCGAGCCGGATGCTAGACCGAAACTTTTACCTTTCCTCTATTTCTATAATAAACAATGTCTTCATCGCGTCCTTTTCCGACAAAATTTTTCCGGCACCGACAAAATTTTCAATTTCTAATTTAACTGGGCTGCCACCTTGCTTCGGAGGGCACGTAAAGCCGTCGGTCCCGGCTACGAAAGTAGTTGTTAAGTTATGTTAGGGACGCTTGCGCTACCTGAAAATCTTAACACTAGACCTTAGCCAGAAGGTTACACGAACTTTACTTTTTTATCACGTCCTTTAAGATAAACATAAAAAAGGTTTTAGATTTAGAACGCTTGTGTTGTAAATGATTATAGAGTTAATTTTTGTTGCAGATATCCAGACAATCAATCGACGCCTGCAAGGATTATTTTAGAGACGACTTACAGAAGACAGACTGGCAGTTGATGGTGGAACTAAAGAAAATCTTTCAAATTTTGTAATAACTGTGCAATATATACTTCCCAAATGGATGAACTATCCATTCTCCTCAGTATTTCTTCAAACTGCTTTTATTTTCGAACGATACAAATTATTTTAGGCTGGTAATTTTTCCACTGAGATTCTTGACATATGATGACTTGATCTATTGATTGACCTACAAAAGGGTGTTTTGAATTGATGTATATTTATATGAATGAATAAAATATTATAAATTGTTAAATGTGTTTTTGTTTGCCAAATAGAAGTGGTTGTCCATCGAGTTCCTAGACAATAGTGAAATTATATCGAAAACTTCCAAATTCTGAATCCAAATATCTGAATGATATATTATCGCAGCTAAACAGATAGAACAAACATATCCCAACAACATTCAGTAGGGTTTAGATCGGGATTCAATACTGGCTCTAACTTCAATTTGAGTTCAATTCAAGTTTCAAATCATGAATGTGTTGCTTATGTGAGTCCATTTCAAATAGGTAAAAGAAATAATAAATAAGACTTGCTCTTTTCGTTTCGCTTTCTACAATATGCAAAGCATCTTCAGGTCTCGATGCAAAGTTAATTAAATGCTGAAATAATAAAACCCATATTAGGGTGTTGTCTTATAAAGATAAACAAAGATAAATAATATAAATTACAGTAATTATGCCAATATTACAATATGCCTGTGGTTTTTCAAAACGAAGTATTTAAGTAGGCAGAGGTAAGACCCACAAATTGGTGTAAAAATAGTCTATTGAATTGTAATAAATTAGTAAATAAATAAAACATTACTTACATGCCGGTACTCTATTAATTAATGGTTGGAAGAACATGGTTCAAACTATCCTGTATTGCTGAATGGAAAACTTCAGTTTTTTTAAACTTTAGTTTATTTTACAATAACACAGTTAAATGATGGTAAAGCAGCAGACTCCGGTAATGTACCAAGTAGAACTACTCAAACTAATGAACAGGAGCCAAGAAATGCCAAGAATACTGTACAATAAGCTTCATGAGTCATCTCCCAAACTTGTTTCTAAAGATAGTTCGTAAGAAAATTTACAAGCTGTGTGAAAGTCAAATTTCCCCCAACCAGTTCGGGTTTATAAATGCTGTTGGAACGAGAGATGCTTTGTTCTCAGTGCAATCCCTTATTCCAGAGATGCAGAGACATCAATTACAACTTACTGCATGTTTGGTTTATTACGGGAATACGCATTTGATCGAATACAACACGCCAAGATGATGCAATTACTAAAAGAAGCATTAATTAATAACCTAGATTTGAAAATAATTAGAAACCTACTGTAATTGGACCGAAAATATTAGAATTAAAGGTGTACACACCGAATACGGAAAAATCATGCATGGAGTGAGGCAAGGTTATATTTGGTCTCCTCTAGTCTTCAATCTCTACTCTGAAAGAATATTAAGCGAAGCTTTACACGAAACTGAAAAAGTTATGACTCAATATAAACGTAAAGAATACAACGCTCATAATTCAAGTTTCTTTTCTGTGTTTTCTATTTTTTCCTTGGGTGTATTTTATTCTCTCCCTTGCTCAGTCTCTTATATTCTTCTTCTTGTCTTGTTCTGTAAAATTGTTGCATTCTCCGATACGTCATGGTTCTTTTTGTCTGTTATGTTGCGACATTATTCATCATACTATTCTGTTGTTGCTCTTTGTTTTTTCTCAATGTACAGTGTCTCTTTTTCGGCTTCTTGTATAATCTTTCTATATATTTCCCATTTTTTACCTATATCTTTATGGTTCTATCTATTCTATATATTTCTGTTTATGGTTCTTCTATAATTTGCATTTTTGTTGTTATCTTTTAATGCCCCTATTCGATATCTTTTATTTTTGGATCCATTTTCTTTTTCGGTATTAAAGATTTTTTTATATCTGCTTTATTCACCAATCTGTCAATAATTACTATAATTACAATTCCAATAGGTAGCGTTTTTGGTAGCAAGGATAGAGCTTGTATAGGTTACTTCATTAAGCACTCTGTTTTATAGTGTAGCTACTGCTAACTACATGAGGTTACCTCTATCATTTACAATATGTATGATACGTACAATAGATTATATTTTTAAGTGTTAAAGATTCTAAACAATTAATCAAAACATTTCGATAAATGAATACAATTTGGAAGTTGTCAAGGAATTACTTGGGAGCAGTAGTGATAACAGCCGAAAATAGTAGTGATAAAAAGGTTTAGCAGCTAAAATCATGGCAGGAAATAGAGCATACTACTCCCTAGCGACGCTAAGTAAATCAAAATTGCTCTTAAATACAGCTAAAACTATATATAAAACTGTAATTTGCCCCCAATAACATATGGAAGTGAGGCGTGGACAGTAAACCAGCGTGAAACAACAAAATTATTAGTCTTAGAATGAAAAATCCTCCTGACGATCTTTGTAGAAACGACATAACAGGAGAGTAGAAGAAGAACTTCCAATAAACACCAACCAAAATACATAAAAAAGATAAACCCAAACTACACAAAAGACAAAATAAGAGGTGTTCTTTAATTTGGAGGGGAGAGAGGGATCTTCTGGGGAGAGGTAATTTCCCTATTCCAGTGGCGCACCCAGTGGGGGTTTTGGGGGGTCAACCCCATCCCAGGATCCTATTCCGACACTGTTGTTTACAAATTTTAAGGACTTAAAATGGTGGAGGTAGCATAAAAAAATTCCCCGTGTATCCGCCTCTGGTGGAGACGAAAACATAACCAGAAACACCGAGCACTCTGTGGAGAAGAAAACATAGTACGATACATTAAGAGAAATCAAATAAGATGAGCAGGTCATGCACTAAGATCGAATGATGAAATATTACTAAATATAACCTAGGAATGCTCGATGGAAGAAGATTAGTTAATCGTCCAAGAAAAACATTCAGTAACGAGAGATCTACGTTAGTTTGGGGTACAACAATGAGAAATTACTGTACAAGACGAGGACGAGTGAAGGAAAATGATAAACGAGGCCAAGACTCAGAGTTGTAGAGCTAAGAACGAAGAAGTTTCTAGCTCTTATTCATCAGCCTGCATTGACTCCTCTTCTAGTACGCACGCATCTAATTGGTGTCTAGATTTTACAAGAACATGGTTTATTATGCCTTACTGTGGTGTCGTCTGTAGATAATGTTAAGCGAAGTAGCTAGGATTGTCAACCTAATGCGATTGTGTTGGATGCGTCATGGAAGCTGTGTTTACCAATGGTAGGTTCATATTCTCCTTTTCCAATTTTTGCATTGAGGTCTCCATAGTATTAAATAAATACTTACCCTTTTTATATGAAAGAGAATGGAGTGCATTACATAAGAAAAGAAGCATCAGGTGAGTAGAAATACATTCGAATGTATATGCAAAACACTTTTGCGTTACACTTCTTTAAAATACTTTATTCAAACACCAACAATATAACAATACTTTAACTCAACCTTTATACAATGACAAATGACTATTAACTTCAAAAACTCAAATACTACTGTTTCTTAAACTGTCAACTTCTTGTGTTTATATACATTTTCTGATATTCCAGACATTACTAGACATTTCGAGATTTCTCGATGGCATCATTGCCATCTCGATCATTTTGAATTTCTTTAATACATCTTCTTTTTCGTCAAGGGACTTTTTCTATATGGAATAAATTTCACGGAATTGTTGTAACAATAGAAAAGTTGTAGAGATACCGATGAAATATCTGTAGTAGAAGCTGGCTTAGATGATAACCCTTAGCAGACTTTCACAAGTCACGGCCAATCTTTGCAAGCTGTGAAGAGAAAAATATAATAATGAAGGAATTATTGAAAGATCTCATAGTTATTACATCACAGGCAACAGCATAAAACACCTAGTTCTCAGTTTTTATTTCTTTTCAAGCATTTGGCTGGAATTTTGTTTCCTTTTTTATCTATGATTTCCTATATCTCTCATTAACTTTGTTTTTCCATTTTTCTATTTAATTCTCGGTATTTCCAACATATTCTGAATTTACTGTTGTTGTTTGCCTTTATTTTCATTTTAGTTAGTTTTTTAATTAAAGTTTTTAATTAAATAAATTAATTATTTACTTATAGTTGATAGAAATAAGGATGAAATGGGGCTTACGCCCAAATTAGCCAAATATAAATAAAAATACCCTACAAAAAATAAAAAAACATTTGTCTCTATTATATCCCTTTCTCCCATACAATTACTTTATTCCATAGCAATTTAAATCGGACAATTATTATAACTTTTTTTATTCAGCAGTTTAACGTCCAAAATCGTACGTCACGCTACGGCGTCGGGGACCGACAGACGCTGGCGTCAGCAGTAAAGTTTTCAATTCATTCATTACGAAAGTTCTGCAACAAAAAAGTTCGAGTTGTAGGAGTTTCCACCGTTCTCCCTACTCCCTAGCTAGACGGTTCACTTAATTTGAGATTTATTGAGTAGTATTCTTGCTTCAGTTGGGGAATGATTAAATGAGGATTGGATTTGATTTGCATCTAATCTAAAGAAAGACAACAGCTAATATATTTAATTTATTGCCTTTTTTTTTAATAATGTGACACATTACCAAAAACAATATTTTTTATAATTACTTACTTGTAAAACCCTAACATTTGAATAACCAAAATGGTGCCCAGTTTTTAAATGATGGTCAACTGCCGCATACGTATTCTTCTTTTTTGTACAGTCATTTTTGTGCTGTGTTATTCGTTGTTTGAGTCGTTGTGAAGTTTGACCGACATAAAACTTTGACAATCCGAACAAAGCAACTTGCAGATAACATTAGTTTTATAAAGAGTTGGAATCTTGTCTTTAACTTTTGAAAGCAGTTGTCCGTTTTATAATACATTATATTTAACAATTTTGATATTAGTAAATTGTTTAAATAATCTGGTCACATGAGGGGTTAACTGCTTTAATACTGGCAGATTTTCATATTGATTTGGTTGTACTGCTCCGATATCAGTGAGCTCGTCAAAAAGGTCCGACTTAAATATCAATTTCTAAAGAATTTGTTTTGGGTATCCATTATTTTCATAGATTTAACAGCAAGTTTAAATTTCTCTTGGTCAACTTTTCGTCACTAATATGCCTTACACTATTTTTCATTGCAATTACTGTATTAAACTTTTGATGATGATTTGAAAAATAGTTTAAATATTTTCCAGATTGTGTTGACTTTTGATACCAATCTCTCATTATTTTGTTTTGTTCAATTCTTAT